AAAAAAAAAAAAAAAAGGACTGTACCCAATGAAAGCATCTTGCTAGGGAAGATCATTCTGGCTCACACAGACTTGCCCGTCAATTCTAGAAAATCTGCAGGGCAGCTAATACCCAGAACAGCTCAGGCTGGAAAGTAGTATTAGAAGGAACAGGCTGTTGGCTGTGACCATCATCTCCGTCCTGAGAGGGCACACACATTGTGAGGTTTCCTGGTTTGGTTTAGTAAGTCCTCACAAGGAAAAGGCAATAGATCTTGGACAGTGGTATTTAAATAAGAGGAAAAAATGAGAAGGATTACCTTAAACATATATTTAGTGGTAGGATATCAGAGTAATAATGTCAACATTCTGCCTTGCCTCGCAAATCCTCAGTACTTAATACCTGGTAATGAGTAGCTTGCTACAAAGTGTCGACATAAGTCAGGGACCTCATTTCACTCAAGTCTGGATTTGTACCCACACCTACACTGTCAGGACAGCTCTCAGGATCTGAAATGCACTATGGCATCCATAGGTTTTGCCCAAATTTCTTGCCCAGAAACTACAAGTTTCAATGCAAGATCTTTTACTACAGGAAAAAAAAAAAATTACAAATCACGCAAAGCAAAGCTGTGATAGAAAAGAGATCCACAGATGGGGCGCCTGGGTGGCTCAGTCGGTTAAGTGTCTGACTTTGGCTCAGGTCATGGTCTCACGGTCCGTGAGTTCGAGCCCCGCATTGGGCTCTGTGCCGACAGCTCAGAGCCTGAACCCTGCTTTGGATTCTGTCTCCTTCTCTCTCTGCCCCTCCCCACTTGTGCCGTCTCTCTCTCAAAAATAAATAAGTGTAAAAAAAAAAATTTTTTTTTTTTAAAGAAAAGGGATCCACAGAGCTAAAGAAAAATACCCTGGGAGGAGCCAATATGGCGCTTTGGGCCCATCTGGATGTTTCTGTCGTTTGCATGGTCAGCAGCAGCAAGCAGCTTATCTGGTCGTCAAACTGAGGCAGAATCATACCAAAGCCTGTCACTGGGTCTTGAAGACAGAATTCTCTGATACTTAGAACCAGCCTTTGACAGGACCAACGTCCTATTACGACCACAGTAGACTGTGCTTTGAGAGCAGTCAGGGAGGCTGTCCTGGGCCTCAAGCTACCAGGAAGCCCAGCGTTCTCCTCTCCAATGCCAGGAGGCCAGACTCAGTTTGGCCCGGCTTCTCTGAACGCAGCTGTGGCAGGGAAGGGGGTGGTAGGGAGAAGGGTAATCAGAGGCTGGCTAGCGACGTTAGAGGGCCATTAAAACAGTGTTGGGGCTCCTAGACGGTTGAGTCAGTTGAGCGTCTGACTCTTGGTTTCGGCTCAGGTCATGATCTCACAGTTTGTGAGACTGAGCCTCACGTCAGGCTTCGCAACTCCCAGCACAGAGCCTGCTTGGGCTTCTCTCTCTCTCCCTCTCTCTCTGCCCCTCCCCTGCTCACTCGCTCTCCCTCCCTCTCAAAATAAATTTAAAAAATTAAAAACAAAACAAAACAAACGGCATAACCAGAGCTCCCAAAAAGGGTGAGTGTTCTGGGAGACCAAGGTCAGGCGGCGGCTGGTAGAGGGGCCACTTAACCCGGTCCAGGCCCCCGATTAGACAGAATGCAAGTTGATTCTCAGAATCCTTAAGACTCAGACCGGCCACGGTGGAGGGACAGCTGCCCACACAGAGGGAAAAGCATGTGCACACACTGGAGGCTTCAAGTAGAGAACTCTGTTCTGGAGAACGAGTTTCAAAAACTGCAAAGCAGGGCAGGGGCGAGTCAGGAAGAGTCACGTGACCCGAGCTCATGAATGTGGACTTGATCCTGAGAGCCACGATGAGCTGAAGAAGGGTGTGGACGAGGTGACAGAACCAGACCTGCATCTTAGGACGAATCTGCTGGTGCCCACGGTGGCTCAGGAGATGGGCTAGGACAGACCAGTTAAGAGGCTATGCTTGCAAAAACTTGCAGGGAAGAGGGGCGGGGGCGGAACTGGCCGGCAGATGTGGGGCGGGAGGTGCGTAAGCGAGCGCCATACCTGTGCAAGGCCGAGAAGAGACTGCTTGGGCTCAGCAGCAGGGGCCCCTGAGGCAGCACCGTGCCCCTCTCGTTGACCCAGTGCAAATAGCCCCTCGTCATGTCCGCCATCCCGATGGCACGTGCAGAACAGTAGAGAAACTTATATCCGTTTCTGCAAAAGAGACAAAGCATTCAGGTGTCACGGCATCCCACCACCGAACCGCTCCGCGTTCGCACACCCTGACCTGTGCTTCTCGAAGAAAGGCATTGCTGCAAGCTTCCTCACCAGCAGAAGGCCACCTCCTATACAACACTATTTGGCACTGAGAGGGAAGCCTGAATGCTTTTCGCTGTCCCTCACTGAGCCCACGTCCCTCACTTGGTTTAATCCTCACGGCAAGTCCATTCGGTAGGGCTTTTCCCTCCGCTTTACGCTGGAGACGCTGAGGCTCTACGCAAACTGGCCGGGCTACCTGCCCCTGCACTGCTCATCCTCCGGGTCCCTGCTCCCTGGAAAGGCCACCCAGCCACCAGCGCACAGGGCCCCTGCAGGTGCACCGCAGCACGGAGCCCGTCCCCCCGCCCCCCACACACGCCATCAAATCCTCCCCTCGGCGGGATGATTCCCGAAAGCACATAAATACGTACCCGCCCCCTCTCATCTCGTCCTAAACACAACCACAGCCTTGGGTTTTCCTTCTCCGCACCGATCCCCGTCGCCCCGCTCCCTCGGCCGTGTGTCTGCACTGACCGCACTTCTCCACCCGCATCACCCCGCTCCAAGCGGACTCAGTCCCCTGCCTTGCTAGCCCCCCCAGGTCCCTGCGACGCCGCATAGGAACAGACTTCGCGGCACACACAGCACGTGTGACAGTCCCTCCCTCTGGAGCGCCTCCGTCCCCTGGCTTCTGGTCCCCACCGCCCCCAGTCTGCTTCCAGCAGCAGCCGGCTCTTCCCAGATAGGCCTGGGCCCCGTCTCCACCCAGGCTCTAGGTGCCCGAGTCCTGGGGTCCTCACCGCCTCACTCCCCCGCGGGATCACACCCACTCCCCGACGGCCCTGAATGCCGCAAACAAACCGGAGCGGCGTGCGCTATTTGTGATGTTGTGATACGATACAGATCTCTGTGGTCCTCATCCCCGGGTCCCAGCACGGAGCTTCCAGACCCTTGGACTTTCTGAGTGACCAGACACCTATTATCCAACACAAGCCCCTTCCTCCACACACCCCTGAGTTTATGCTGATGAGGGGGGCCACGGTTGCCATAGGAACCAGCCATGCAATCAGAGGGCTGGAACTTTCATCCCCACCAACCCCCCCCACCCATTCCCCCCGCCCCACACACACAAATTCCGGGCAAGGCAGAGGGGCTGGAGATGGAATTCAATCACCAACAGTCAATGATCTAATCAATCGTGCCTACACAAAACCCCTCAACAATGGGGTTCAGGTTGGGAGAGGCAGGTTGAGTGCCTCCACGTGCCAGGACACACCCCCACCCCGTGGAGACGAGACCCTTCCAGACATCGTTCTATGTGCCTCTGCACCCGGCTGTTCATTTGTATCCTGTAGGATAAACCCGAGTGTTTGCCTAAGTTCTGTGAGCCTTTATAGCAAATTATTAAACCCGAGAGGCGGTTGTGGGGACCCCTGATCTGTAGCCAAGTTGGGCACAAGCGGGGATAAACTGGGGACCTCCTATTCGTGGCTGGCATCTGCAGTGGGAGGTGTCTTTGGACCGGGCCCCTAACCTGTGGGGTCCACCCTACCTCTGGGTAGCTGGTGTCAGAAGTGGACGGAATTGTTGGACACCCAGTTGGCACCTGTGGGGAATTTCAGAACTGCTTCGTGCGACAGCCCCACACGTTGGGTGCCAACAGTGGTTGGGAATGAAACACAGATCGCAAGCCAATTCTTCCATGACATACAATTTTACTGCTTGAGCAGGACTGCATTTCCCTCGTTTTAACCCTTGAAAGCTTAGTAACCAAAACGAGATGTGCTGTTAAGATAAAATGTATGCCACGTTTCAAAGGCTTACTGTAAAAAAACAGAAGCTATCTCCCGTTAGTAATTTCTATATTGATTTTAAACGGTAATGGTTTCCATAGATGTATTGGACTAAATAAAATACACTAAACATTTCTTAAACACCATCTATACCTGGCTGCCTTCCAGATTTATACTTCCAGTCCAGACGCCTCTCTTAAGCTCCAGGCCAATACGTGCAACCACAAACCGCCCCGTCACTAATGAGACAGACGACGTACCCCCGACGCGGTGCGCCCACAGTCAAATGTGCGCGGGCGCTCCTGCCGCGTCCTCGCTGAGCAAGTGGCTCTCGCTGGCCCAGGTGAAAGGCCAAACCTCAGGGCCACCTGGGAGTCTACTTCTCATGACCAATGCCCAGCCCCCCCCCCCCCCCCCCGGCCCCACTGCCTCAACTCCACCCCAGCAATGACCCCAAACCGCCCCGAGTCCCCTGCTACCGGGACGGGGCCTCTCACCTCGATTCCCGCAGCAGCTTGAATCGGCTCCCACTCCCCCCCACACCAAGTCTGGACACAGAAAGAAACCTCAAAACACACTCACGTCGTACTCAACACCCCGAAGAGCCTCGACATCTCTCTCAGACGCAATCCAAACTCTACAAGGCCAGTGAGGCCTGGTCCCCATTGCTCTCTCCAACCCCATATACTCCCTCACTCCGGCTCACCAGAAAGGTGCCCCTGCCAGTCTTCCGAGGCACCATGCTCATTCCTGCACTGGGCACCTGCACATGCTGTTCCTTCTGCCTGGAACACTGTTCCCCACACCCCAGGCTTACCCACTCCCTCACCTCACCTAGGTCTCTGCTCAGACATCACCTCCTCAGAGGGCCCTTCCCTTGTCCCCCTTTTTAATAAAACACACACTCCCGGGGCGCCTGGGTGGCTCAGTCGGTTGAGCGTCCGACCTCGGCTCGGGTCATGATCTCGCGGTCCGTGGGTTCGAGCCCCGCGTCGGGCTCTGGGCTGACAGCTCGGAGCCTGGAGCCTGCTTCGGATTCTGTGTCTCCCCTTCTCTCTGCCCCTCCCCTGCTCGTGCTCTGTCTCTGTTTCTCAATAATAAATAAACGTTAAAGTAAAATAAAAAAAGTAAAACACACGCTCCCCTATCCCCACTTCAGCGACAAAACCTTTGCTCTGCTTTAGTCTCCCTAATGGCACCCATCACTAATGTTACAGTATAGTTCCTGGTTTGAAGGTGGTCTCTTGTGAATCCATAAGCCCCCTGAGGGCGGGGACTTGGTCTCAAGCCTTGCTGTAACCCCAGGGCCAAAAACAGTGCCTGGCAAGTTACAGACACTTAGTAAATATTTGCGGAATGAGAGAATACAAGCTGCCCACTTCTCCCTGACTTAGTCCTCCAGCATGAACATTTGATGCTGGTTAAGGGGCTCATCTCTAGACTTGCTTATGAATAAATCTGGCCTTTTGTAGCAACATGGACGGAACTGGAGAATGTTATGCTAAGTGAAATAAGTCCTACAGAGAAAGGCAGATCCCATGTTTTCACTCTTATGTGGATCCTGAGAAACTTAACAGA